TTTGCAGTGGCAGCCAGGAAAACGCAAACAGTATAACCACGACCATTAGCATTTTGATGACTTTGATCTTTTTACGAAAATCTTGTTCTTTGATTTCTCTTGGTGCCCGGTCGCCTCCTGGGGTTGGTTTAGCCCAAACTGTGTGGCCAATTTTGGCGTAGAGACAAGCAATTACTGCCATAGGCGCGATGTAACAACAGAGAAAGATAATTGTACTATACACTTTGCTCCATAGAGGTGACGTCTCCATACACAAGTGTAAGAATAGCGTGTTCTTATAGGACACTACCCCCTCTTCAATTAGAAGGACCTGCGGGATCATTATTACGAATGAGAGTCCCCATATAACCGCTACAGTCTGAATCAGCGTTTTTGTCGAGGGTTTTGGCTCCGTGGGGTGCACAACCGAGTAGTACCTGAAGGAGAATGCGTTTTGTTAAATTATTGTACAATACACCAACGATAAATTACTATTTTTCATAATGTCATTGCTTTTATTTATTAAAGAGGTTCATCAGTCACGAAAGATTGATGAAGGTTCTACTAACTGCTATGATTTGATTTGATTTGATAGCTTAAAATTTGTTTTAGAAAACATCAATCAAGTTAAGAGAACAGACTTCTTATAAATAAACATGCAGGATAATAAATAAAGGCCATTACTGATAATCCGATACTGAAATGAACTGTAGGCATATCGTTTTAGAGAGATTACATTATATGAGTATAGGGGTAGTTTTACAGCATGCAAGACATCATGAAATTTTCAAAAATAAAATACAGTATAAATCTACTAACATTAGAATATGAATCTACCCTCTGGGTAAACACGCTGGAATGAATCTACTATCATGAATTACTTGCTTATCCATGATAGAGGAATGCTATTTCTATATGAATGCCCACCTGTCCACTGCAATCGCCACGAGTGTAAACACTGACGCTACAACTGAGACCACGGTCACTGCGGGGGTTAGCTTACACATCACGTTCCCTAGGGGCCATCCTGTTTTCAGAACATAAGAAAACTTTATTAGCATTGACAGATTCTGACAAATCTGAATCATGTCTAATTTACAATACAATATCAAATTAAAAACGCTAAGAGAAATATCATCATCGCTAAGAGAAACATTTAGTTACAATGAAATCGTTTACAATATACATGTCTAAAATTACAGAAATCATATTATAGATACTAGACATGTATACATGCATTTAACATTTACAGGAGAAATCATTTCAGAGATTTGTTATAGAGCAGTGTTGCTCGGTAGAAGATTGGAATAATTTAATATCAGTTAATCTGCAAAATTTCATTGCCATTTTTAGATTTTACATTTGTACTTCAGGAATATCTTCATGTCTTTTCTCATTAAAAGGCTTTATCATTCATAGGCAAACTATGTATATTCCATGAAGGTACAAGAATGTTCTGAATCGTTTCGATATAATAGTGTACCATGCCTAATGCGAATTGCAGATCAGTGTGGCACTGGAAATTGTAGGCAAGAATACACACAGGATGAGGGGTATGATGAAAGGTAAGACTCGGCCATGGGTGAAGTGCATTCGGATTACACACACGAAGAAGTACACTCATCCTGGGTAAAGTGCGGAAAGGAAATTTGCATTTTATCGATTTGCAGACTGCATTTTGCCTACCGTGGAAGCAATGTCCATATGCTCTATAGCAATGAACAAAATGAACTCTTTGACGCAGCCTCCAAATTCTACCCTAACTTTCACACGTATGCAAATGAAAAAACTACTACACTCTTCGCTGTCTTCAAAAACAAAGTCAAACAGTAGTTAACAGTAGTTCTTTGTGTATTAATGGACTGTTCTTACACCAGATGGTTCTTCTGTACTTGCAGTTAGCCCTCGGGTATGAATTTGCAATGAAACAATTATATGAGAAAGGACCCCCACAAATCTTCAAAATCGTACTATTTGATAATTAAATATTGCCCCTGTGCTGGATTTATTAAAGGCACCCAATACAATTTCAGACATCGATATAAAAATATTCTGGATGAGGAAATTTGTCTGGTGTTGATATTATTGCCATTTCTTAGCACTTTTGTCATCAATTCATACTGGAAGCGTTTGAAATGGCACAAAAAAGGCACACGAAGAGTCCCTTGATTTTTGGTACCACCAATAGCTGGAACCAGCCTACAATACAAAACAAGCAACCGTTTTTCGTCAGCAGCAGGCATTATAATGCGATGGATAGGGTTGATTCAGCTTTCATCATTACAAAGGCCAGAACATCGACGTTAAAAAGTTAAAATTTACTGCCCTGAAATCGTTTTGGGTGCCTTTAATACTACATATTGCATGCATGATTTACTACTCACCCCTAATGATGTTGTCGAGAAGAGTAAATGGCATGCAGAAGATGGCCACGAGGAGATCGCTCACTGCCAAGTTCAGGAGGAAGTAGTTGGTAACCGTTCTCATCCTGGGTATCTTCAAGATGACAAAACAGACCATGGAATTCCCCACGATACACAGAGCAAACGTCAGGACGTACGAAAAGATGAGCAGCGCTATGATTGCAGTAGACTGCTTGAATCTCGCATCGGCATAGATCTTACTTAAGACTTCAGAAGAGTTCATGGTGCTGTCCACCGACCCCGTGAAGTTGCTACTGTTCATGACGACTACGTACGGACACAAGAAGAAGAAATAAATAAGAAATACAGTTGAGATGCGTGGTCTTCTTCAATTGGCTATGATGGCAATGGCAGCAGATACGCACGCGATGATTCCAAACGAAAAATATTCATGCTGATGCTCTCTGAAGAGATGAGGGATACCCCGCTGAGGAAAAGGTTTCCAACATCGACACCACCTACGGAAACACACCAGAGGGGCCATTAGTAACGCGGTGAGCTTTAACATTTCGGCAGAGTCAATCAGTAGGTTTGTCGCCAACAGCTTATTACGTTAATGACCTGCAGCAAGGTCTAGGTATTAGATGGGATCTCCAGTGGCTTCTAGAACTTTCTAAACGGGAAAATATTAAGACATTTATTTTAAAAATATATTCATATAAACGCTATATAATATATAACAAGTTGGGCCACTAGGCGTATGTCTCGACGAGGCAAATTAAATGAAATAGATAACAAATGACTGTAATCATAACATTACTTAAATGGGAGCACGTATACATAAAGAAAAGGTTCAGTTAGGATTAAACAGGAATGTCTGATTTCCTCTTCTGCGAATGCTGCTGTTTCTCCGATGCTGAAAGTACCAAAATGAACGGTCAGCACATATGTTAAGGCAATGATGACCTGCGCTTTTTCAAAGATATTGGAATTTTAGAGGCAGTAAACAGGAATTAAGCATAGTGGTACGCCTTGATAAGGCATTGGCAGGCTACGGCATCAAATGCTGTGAAAACAATGCAATGACCTACCCCACTATTACATTCAGCGTGGGCATCAAAGTACATGATACAAAACAGGAGATCTCCGGTCGATTCAAATACCTAATAGTATGGACAACAACTTGAAAATTGCAACTACAAATCGTTCAGCAATATCAATGAAACAAATATATTTTTCAACTTCAAGACCCGATGACCCGTCATTGTCCTCTGGATGACTGCGTCATTCTAATGATACACCGATGTCCCCATCTCACCGATGACCGTTAAATACGATAGGTTAAACCTAAAGCAAAAGACGCTGTAGCAAATTTGAAATTTGAAACCTTTCAGCTTCTGGTGATAGAAAATTACAGTCAAGGGTCGTTGACACTGTGACGCCGGCTCAAGAATGAATCTGTAATGTAATGGTCACATCTTAGGGTCGTCGAAAAAGGACTAAAAACGATCATGCAGGGCATGTTGAAAGATACTTCAATGGTTTAGTGAAGAATCTTTAGATGCATGCATATGTATGTGATCTTTCAAACTACCCCAAACACATTATTAATCAACAATACACACATTATACAAATCAATAACGTCATTATTATATGGCGCCCAGTTTGTCAGTTGAGATACTCGAATAATTCCATAGTATAATGGAATATCATAGCGAAGCAAAATTAAATCTTGCTGAAGCAAAACAATTTTGCCAATGGTTAAGCATACGACTTCATACTAAGTCAGATACCACACTTTCTGTAGCCAATACATTACAAAGTTGTTAATGATATGTGTAAATCCTGTTTTATATATAAAAATCTATGACCTGCTTCAGGCAGGCAAGTGTTGTTTTACAAGAAGTCGTGTGAAAAGAAGATCACTTCTCTTTCGGAAGAGAGCAACGTGGAAACTGATGAAGTACGTATGTCTGCCTCATGGCACCTCCTCAGAGCAAGTGTAATTATCTTTCGGTCTCACCACCGGGAGCGTACTCATCTGGGGGGCAAATACGCCATGGAGAAATTAGGCTCAGCTTCGATAAATGTCAAAGGTCTGTTGCAACTTCAGCAGCTTAGGCAAAGGATATATATAAGTGTCAATCAGTCCACCAGATGTTATTCTTTTTTTCCAAAGGTAAGAGAATTACGGTTAGCAGTTTTATCGATCCAGTCTTGAGCGTGAAGGTCTAGTGATGAGATTTGGAAGATGCCTTCGGTACCTGACCACCTCCTGGCAATCAAATTTGAAGTGTGCATAGGCTTGGTACATGTACACGTCTATCATCAAGAGGTTTCATTTCTATGGAAAACTGCAGAATTGCCTATTCCGGACGAAGTATTGCCGGAATGCCATAAAAAATACGTCCAATAAAATAGATACATCCAATAGAACTTATAAAAGAAATGAAAATATATTGATCCAAAAATAAAATAAAAACATGTAATATGGTTTCCTTAGAAACACCATTAAATGCATATCTTTACTGGCGAATATTATTGTACTGCCGACGTTAACGATATCTATTATGGTTTTATGCATGGCAAATCATAAGTATCTACATCATCATGGAATCATCTTTATTGCATACAGTGCATGATAGCACGTTATAGTACGATGATTGATAATAGTTTTAACAGATACACGGATGAGCTAGCCCTATCTTTCCAACGCTAACATATGCGTTATTTCTCAGATGGCAAGATGCCCCGAACAAGTTAAAGGACACACTATTCGTCAATGCTCATGTAAATTTCATGTTCAGATCATGCATATAGATAGCCAAGTTCTTTGATCTTACACTTACAAAAGAATAAAAAATCAAACAGAATATATACGAACACAAGCCAAATAAGTGTATTATTCGATTACTTTTATGTCCGTTGAGTTTTTGTAGCAATGCAAAAACATATTTATCTGTTAAAGTGCTCCTGGAGGGTAACTTACATAAAGTACAAGCCTTGTAGATTTCAATCACAAAAGGAATAAGACTTCTAGTTTATGCAAAGTTACGTAATGAGAGGACAGCAAACAGATAAAGTAACATCCGGACCAACAAGGGTATAAATGTAAACACCACACATTAAGTTTCAATAAACAATTCAACTGAGATGTCAACGAGCACGATCTTTTATATATATGTTTTAAAAGGATGCAGTTAACACACTCGTATTACCATATCGTATCATGTAAACACTGTGCATTCAACGTTAGTACAGTAATACTAGTCTTACATGTAATGGAAATTCAGTTCCTCCTAAAGCAGTGTTTAAAACCCACCTTGTAACTTCATTCCACGCCCGGGCTTATGGAAACGCAGCCTCTCTATTGCTGGCAATTACAACTAAACGCTGCACATCCGTTTACCATTAAGCGCCTTTGCGCGTCAACGACGTTGCTGAGCTGGAGTCAAATGGTGCTAAAACGCCCCTTCCAAGCAAGATGTGATTGCTTGTCATGAATGTAAAATGATACATGTTGAATTTGAATTAATGTCAGGTTGAAGATTGAACTAAATTTATATATCCTCGGTAAATACATGATGACGAGGTACGAAGGAGAATGATTTTCGATATTCTTGTTCATATTTTGGATTCTTTTTGTTCTCAATAGACACGCAGGTCAATAGAATCTGCCATGCTCAAAGCTAACAGCATGTGATATATTTTTCCATACATATGAAAGTCAAACCACTGCGGTATGACTGATAGTTCTATCAGTATCGGTAGGGGTGAAATTTATGAGCACATTCGCCTTGGGTATAAAGGAACATGTTAGCTGGACATGCTACCATTCGTCTGCCAGAGGACTAACATTCTTTATTGGAAAATAGATAATACAATATTTTCACGAACAGCAAAATCTAATTGACCTTCGTTTCACATTGTTGGGTCCAATTTACTCATCAACAAAAGTTATCAACCATCAACATCTTACTAATTATAAAAACCATCATCATAGAAATAATGACATATTTTACATATCAAGTTATCACTCATTGATACTTATCTTTTAAATAATCAAATAGAACCAGACAGCCTAAGGTTTTAGTAATCATTATATGTTATTACAATCTAACATTGTAAGCAAGGTAGCAGGCGATGCAATATCTGGTCATGAGAGTATCATGCATGTTCGTGACCCTTTTTTCCTACAACCTTCCCTATCATTCACCGGACGGGGCAGGTCTTGCAAAATACAGCTTACATCTTCACACAGTTAACTGGGGAATGTAGGTTGTGTAACAGATCGTTGGCAAAGTCAAACTTAAGTGCTATAATGAACATAATCACAAAGTAGAATGACATACATGTACCTCCCTACCTTCTCCTTTTCAAAGATTGCGCGTCGAACTTGAAAAATCCATTTCCTGTCGGTCTGCAGGTGTTAGATAAGGTAGCTGTTATGAACTGATGTCTTCCCGAGTCTGTCTATGCTTAACAAATGTCCGAGCAGCAGCAGTCAAGTAACGCCGTAGCTTAACTTTCCATTTAAAATGTGTTTGCAGTGGTGCTTACGTCATGCTGATGTCAGGATGTTCCAACGCCAATGGCGATTGAAAAAAAAAGCAGCTATCTCTGTGATCATCAAGTTTGCCTTTTTCGATCGGTGTGGGCGGGAATAAGGACAGGGATTTATTTCAGTGAAATTGAAAAAGTCTAGTTTCTCTTATTTTCCATACATAGTGTATTGAAGACAACATTCTTGTGCAATAGATTACACCGTAACAATATCCCGTACTCGTATTCCTAATATTGTAATTTACTGTTTCGTATGCTCCTAGGATGGCAATTATCATCGTAGAATTCTAGAACTGCAGGTAAACATTAGCCTAGCCAGGGAATCTATCAAAACGGTTGGTCTGAAAACTGCAAGGACCAATTACATGAGACTGTACCGTGATCGTGAATAGCAAGCTAAAACTGCCAAGCTCTCATGAGTGAGTGAGTGAGTGAGTGAGTGAGTGAGTGAGTGAGTGAGTGAGTGAGTGAGTGAGTGAGTGAGTGAGTGAGTGAACGACTTAGAACGAGTCTTGTCTTTTCGTCATTTCGTGATTTAAAATGTGCTGTGACTATTGAAATTGTGTACACTTTTAATTCACCTTCTAAAGCTTGGTTTGGTGAGCTTGTCTTTGTACCATTTTATTAGGTTAATGAGTTGTTGATCCGTATATAAATCCGTATCTCCCAACCTTTCTGATGTGTGATTTTTCCAGCCTTACAGACTACTTCCCAGGATTACCGTGAACATCTGGAGTTAATAATAGCTTGGTAATGCG